CATTAATATACATTGTTCTCATAAATTTACAAGAGGTTAACATTTGCAAAATATAGCATCAAAATACATTAGGACTCTATATCATTTACAAAATATAAAATATGACAAGTCCTAATAAGCAGTCTATCCACTATAGGAGCGAAGACGACACTAGTCATCATCCCCAAACCACCCCTCTATCTCTACTATCTCTTCTGCTGATAAGTCTTCGTCTTCATCAATGTCACCCTCGTCAGCTACCAATGTTCAAGGCCTATGATTCGCTAGGTGGTGCAATGGCTTGGGCTCCCATGCTATCATAGCCTAGATAAGTGTACATAGAGTTTCATGCATTTGGTGGCTTGGTCTACCACTGCCAGGTAATCTAAGGATACATCATATCCTATAGTCATTTCTAAGGTAAATATAATATCAAAACCATCATTACTATGTACAATAAAATTACAATGGCACAACTGCTGTCACTCTCTAGCTACATAATCTATTCTACTGGGTAATAAGTAATTCGGACAGATTAACAAGTCCTTGTGGGTCTGTCATCTTTATTCCCTGAAAGGTTATGTAAAGATGAGTCTCTCTTTTCAATACCAAACATGAATTCACATTTAAGTTAAGAAATATAAGCAAAAATAATACATTAATCAATCACACAATACAGTCATATTCATATGCATACAACAACTATTAGTTGGTCAATTTATCACATTTCCTTTCTACTAATTCTTGGAGTTCTCATTTCACATTTTCATTGCCCCTGAGATCCTTAAGGCCTTCTTTAGCATAGATAGTCGTTGGATAGTCACAGTTACATGAATATAGTATGTGCCGACCTGGCTTCTTTTAGCAAAGCATGGTCAGGATTTAGGTTAGGAAATGAGTGTGAGGCTTGTAGTGCTCTTACTACCACCACCCTCTTTTTTTCAAGATTTTCAAATCGCCTCCATCTTCCACCCTCCCAATGTATCTTTGAACTATCCATACTTGTCCTTATTATTTTCCTTTCTCATTGCATTTCTCTTTTCATATTTCTCATCTTATTTCCATATTTTTCATTATGGCTCCACTCCTCTCTTAGTCATACAACTTAAACTTATCATCTTTATATTAACATATTATTCACTCTTTTCGTTTTCTAATTTGTTCAAGTTCATCTCATTATACACATTTATTTTCAATAAATGTCATTTCAATTCATCAAGAACAAGAAAACTCATGGTATCAGCACAATCATTTAGACATACATTCATAAACAAGGACATATAGTCACATCCATACAAGTACCACAAATCATATTTTCAGTAACAAAATAGAACTTTCCTTACCTCAAAGGACAAGTTTAGTGAAGAAGAGAGTGTATAGGGTGGTTTAATAAGCTAAGATCGTCCTATACCTTACAGAGAAAAGTGCTCTTTGAGAAGAGAGAAAACATAAAGAATAGGGATGAAAACAAAGAGCCAAGCTCTGAGAGCCTCACCAACGATTACGTAGAGTCGAGGTTCAAGCTTGGATTCAGAGTAACTTTAGAGTTTCTGAGGCTTCTCTTGGGGAGAAAAGAGAGAGTTCAGAAAAAAGAGTTCGGAAATGTTTCTTAGATTATAATGCAAGTCTCAGATATGAAATTCCTTAAATACCCTTGAAACCTCGCACACTCTCGTTTAAGCAAGAGAATTCTCGCTTGGACAAGAATACCAGACAGTGGTTCCCCAAGCTTTTTCTGCTATCCTCGCTTAAGCGAGGGTCAATCTCGCTTGAGCAAGATGACGTCCAGAGAGCTAGATATCTTTTCTGTAAGTCCTCGTCTAAGCAAGATCACTCTTGCTTAGGCAAGGTGATAGTTGGACTGGGTTTATCCCATTCTTGCATGAGCGAGATTCATCTCACTTGAGCGAGAATGCCTTAACTCTTGTGGTTCTAGGTGCTCAATCTCACTCTAGCAAGACTTATCTCACCTGACCGAGATTCCCTGTACTAGACTACTTCCAAAACACTCATAACTCATTCCCAAACACATTCTAACACTATCTAATATTAAATAATTCATCAATTAATCAAATAATGAAAAAGAGGGTGTTACAACTATCTTGACCAATGTGTATTGAGGAAAAGGCTAAACTTTAGTATAAATTATTTCTATTAAAGACCGAGTGTGATCTCTGGCAATGTGACTATAGTATGTGATTTAATTTCAATATGTTTTAATTGTATGATTGGAGTTGAGTCCAAAGGTGTTTGACCTTTGGCAAAATTGTTTGGTGATTTAATTATAATTTAATGGAACATTATTATGAATGTGAAATTGATTGTATGTAGGAGAAAATTGGGATGACTATTGGTATGAGTATTTGAGATTATGGATTTATATAAATTGTTGTTTGAACTATTAAGAAAGTGTGAAAATGATTGAATGTGAAAGGAAGTCATGAAAAGAGAATTGTTGACAAAATGGTGTGTCATGAAAAAGTGATGGAAATATGTATAGATAGTGATATAGATACACTGGGAGTATGAAAGACGGAGTCAATTTTGGAAAAACTTGGGGAAATGTAGGGTGGTGAATGCTTTCTTTTAAATTGCACAGAAACTGTTGAGAATGAAAGCATCACAAGTCTCACACTCATTTACTGACCTATACTCTTAACCACACTTTTGCTAAAAGGAGCCGGATTACTGCAACTAACCAACAAATATCTAAACTATGAAGACCTTAAGGGATCACAGGGTTAATGAATGTGTAATCATGATGTCTGAGTTATAATACAGTGATCTTGTTATTATGATATGTATTATAATAGATTGATTAATGTGATTATAATATAGGTATCATAATATATTGGCGGGTGTGATTATAATGCATGTATTGTAATGCATTGATTAATATGCTTAGAACTCACATATTATAACATATTGATTGGTATAAGAATGTATGAATTGTATGGTCTTAGTGTATGTTTCGAAACATTAATGATGTACTTGTTATGATGTTTTATCTGCTATAAGTTCATTAATATGATATGCAAACTAGTATTATTTTGATGTATTATATCATTCATATCATTCATCATCAACAAATGGCATGTTCACACGTATCAACCATGTAACACCTTAAAATTTTAATTTCTAAGTAAAATGAATTTCGTAAAAATGTTAACAAAATAGAAGTTTTCATTCAATAGTAGTTCAAAAACTCAATTTCATAAAGTGGTTCTTAAAAGGAAACGATTACAAGTTTGTTTCATAACTTGCTATAGGACTCAAATATACATTAAAACTTCCAAAATAAACTTCTAAGTCCTATAGCAGTGTCATCCATCCTTCCTTCAGGGGGCCTGGTGCTAATCGTCTTGGTTACCTGAAAAATAAGCATAAGGGTGAGTCCTCTACTCTAGCATAAGAACACAAATAAGCATAAGGCTCACCTAAACTATCTCACTCAAGGCACACATAATAATCACAGGCAGGTGCGCTCACTGCACTGACAACCAATTACAAATACATGCATTTACATAAACACACGTGTGCCCACTGCACGTAGCCACACTCACTGTGGCACTGTGATCACAGACTTCTGATGCCCTCAACCTCAGGGACTTACTCAGTTATGCTATGGATGGTCGCCCGAATAGCTCCCGCTCCACGGATACAACATGTGCGGTATTGAGCCCCCAGGCAAAGGTGTTAGTCAGAGGTCGAGTCAGGAGGAGAGTCTGTGGCCTATGGTGCACCCACGCTCACTGTTGGTGTCACCACCACCCTCTCTTCCCCAAGGTATTACTACCACCCCTATCTTCCACACCCCTAGTGTATCTCTGAACCATTCATAGTTCCAACACTCAAACACATCATCATTCATTCAACATGCCATCCGCACTCATCAACACAATTTCAAATTGCAATCAAGAGCATGTCGACACAATTTCATTCATATTACAACCAACTATTTCATCATAATCGTCATACTTACAATCACACACATTTCATTTCACACAAAACATACAACATGCAGGAGGTCAGGCACCTCTGGACTCAGCTTAGTGCGTTCAAACCATTAATATATACATTTTCTACTCTTTACTTCTAATATATTACCATACTCAATCAAATAAACTAATTTCTAATAAGAATAATTGGACCAAAGTCCTCCCCTTACCTCAAAAACGAAGACCCGACACGAAATGTTGATGGAATCGTCTCCCCACACGTATTTCCTCCCTAAAGCACACAAAAATTCCAAGGAAACTTAGGGGAAACCTCAGAAAATAAAGGAGAGGGACGAAAACCAAAACCCTAACCATAGAACTTACCTCTAAGAGCTCCAAACACTTCCCCAATCCTCAATCTAGCTTCCAATCGGTCTTGGAGGGGTCCCAAACAGTCGGAATAGGCTAGGTGGAGAGAATCATGGAAGAAGGAAGGGAAAAATCATGAAAATGCCCCACTCTTCGAGCCCTAACCCCTTCAAATACCCCTCTGGTCGTGACACGCTCGCTATAGCAAGATAGGACCTCGCTGCAGCGACACGGCCTCTCACTACAACAAAAAAAACCAGAGAAAACTACACTCTGGTTTCTACAGAATCTCACTACAGCGAGACTGCACCCAGAAATGCACCCTAAATTGTCGCTCTGTCGCTACAGCGAGTCGTCTCTCACTACAGCGATAAGGTGACAGTCGCATGCCTTCCTCCTAGGGACCTCTCGCTATAGCGAGAATGCCCTGCATTAGAACTTAACCTATTTCTTTCAATCCAAATTTCAATCACACACACATATATAAATACATTTACATATATCAGTATTCACACACACATTCCCATCAAATTAAGGTACGCTCATATCACCATTAAGTCAATCAATACACCATAGAATGATATATATATATATATATATATATATATAAATACGTATTCATATACTCAAACAATATTACATTTCTCAAGGCGTTACAACTCTCCCCTCCTTTAAGGAATTTTGTCCCCGAAATTCAACCAAACTACATATCACCTTTCGGCTCTCTGTCTCCCATGTGGCATCTCCTTCATCACTTGAGTTCCATATCACCTTTACCAATGAGATCTCCTTGCCCCTCAGTTGCTTAATACGATGATCTGTAATCCTTATCGGGTACACCTCATACGACAAATCCTCCCTCACTTGAACTGGGTCGAGATTAATCATGTGAGAAGGATCCGACACATGCTGCCTGAGTTATCACACGTGGAATACCGGATGCAGATTTGAGAGGTTCGGAGGCAATGCTATCTGGTACGTGCAGGACCAATTCTACTCAGCACTTCGAATGGCCCAATGAATTTAGGAGATAGCTTCTGAGATTTCAGAGCTCTCCCAACTCCCGTCACAGGTGAGACCTTCAAAAATACGTGGTCACCCACCTGAAACTCCAAGGGTTTCCTCCTCTTATCGTAGTAGCTCTTTTGCCTATCTTGTGCAGCCTTCATTTTCTCTTTGATCATTTTGATCTATTCGTTATGTTTCTGGATCATATCTGGTGCACATAGAGTAGCCTCTCCATCCTCATACCAACATAATGGAGTTCTGCACCTTCGCCCATACAAAGCCTCGAACGGTGCCATCCCAATACTGGCGTGATAACTGTTATTATACGTGAACTCCACTAATGGTAAACATTCCTCCCAAGTCCCTTGTTGTTCGAGCACACAAGCTCTCAACAAATCTTTTAGAGACTGGATAGTTCGCTCAGTTTGCAGATGGTACGCCGAACTGAGCTTCAACTTAGTGCCTAACTCCCTCTGTAGGCTCTCCCAAAATTTTGAGGTAAACCTCGGGTCCCTATCCGACACTATACTAGTCAGCACTCCATGCAGCTTGACTATCTCCCCCACGTACAGTTCCGCAACTCATTCCAATTTATACTTCATATTGATTGGAAGAAAGTACGCAGCCTTAGTCAACTGGTTCACTACCACCCAAATGGCATCATGGTTGTTTCTGGTCTTCGGCAACCCAGAAACAAAATCCATAGAAATGCTATCCCATTTCCACTCAGGGATCTCTAATGGTTGCATCAATCCACGTGGACGCTGGTGTTCTACCTTCACTTTCTGGCTAGTTAAACATTTAGCTACGTATTCAGCCACGTCTCTCTTCATTCCATTCCACCAAAAACTCTTCTGGAGGTTCTGATACATCTTTGTCGTACTAGGGTGAAAGCTCATCCTGCTCTTATGCGCCTCCTCAAGTATCATTTGCTTTAGCTCATCCACTTGAGGAATATATACTCAGTTCTGGAATTTGATTACTCCATTCTCATCATGGTAGAATCCCAAATCCTTTCCCTCACCCTTCTGCCTCATCATGTTTTGTAGGAAAGCATCTGCCTGCTGAGCTTCCCAGACGTACACTAGAAGGTCATTATGAATCATCGTCGTCCCGAGATACAAGCTCCTTGGTCTCACTTCCATAGCCAGATTCATATCCCAAAATTTCTCAATCAACTCCATCTCCCTCACCATCATCGCTGCCACGTGCAGTGATTTTCTGCTCAAAGCATCGACTACCACATTTACCTTGTCAGGATGGTAAGACAACGTGAACTCATAGTCCTTGAGAAATCCCATCCAGCTCCTCTGCCTCATGTTCAATTCCTTCTGATCAAACAAATACTTCAGGCTCTTGTGGTCGCTGAACACCTCAAACCTCGCTCCATAGAGATAATGCCTTCACACTTTGAGAGCAAATACCACTGCGGCTAACTCCAAGTCATGAGTCGGATAATTAACTTTGTGCAGACGTAACTGTCTTAAGACATAGGCAACCACTCGCCCTTCTTGCATCAAAACACACCCAAGTCCATGTTCGGATGCGTCACAGTATACATCAAACTTCCGTTCTGGGTCGGGCAGAGCTAACACTGGCACCGACGTCAACCTTATCTTTAGCTCTAAGAAGCTAGCCTCGCACCCCCTGGTCCACTTAAACTCCTTTCCTTTACGGATCAGCTTCGTTAGGGGCAGAGCTATCTTAGAAAACCCCTCAATGAACTTTCTGTAATAGCCTGCCAAACCCAGAAAACTACGGACCTTAGTTACATTCGTTGGTCTCGGCCAATCTACTACTGTTTCCACCTTTGCAGGGTCCACTCTTATTCCTCCCTTTGACACCACATGCCCCAAAAACTGAGTCTCTGTTAACCAAAACTTGCACTTAGAAAACTTTGCGTACAATTGTCTCTCCTTCAGAATTTGTAAAACAGTCCTTAGGTATTCAGCATGCTCTTCCTGAGTCTTAGAATAAATTAGGATGTCGTCGATGAATACCACTATAAATTTATCCAAAAACTCATGGAATATTCTGTTCATGTAGTCCATGAACACCATAGGCGCATTAGTCACTCCAAACGGCATCACCAAGTACTCATAGTGACCATACCGCGTCCTGAACACCATCTTAGAAACATCATCCTCCTTCACTTTGATTTGATGGTACCCCGACCTCAAGTTAATCTTCAAGAACATTGCAGCCCCCTTCAACTGGTCCATCAAATCATCGATTCTCGGCAGTGGATACTTATTCTTAATTGTGACCTTGTTCAATTGCCGGTAGTCCACACACATTCTCACACTTCTGTCCTTCTTCTTTACTAACAGTACTGATGCTCCCCATGGTGATACGCTTAGTCTCACAAACCGCTTCTACAATAAGTCCTCCACTTGCTTCTTGACCTCTGCTAACTCCACCGGTGACATCCTATAAGGTGCCATAGAAATCGGACTTGCTCCCAAAATGAGATCAATAGTAAACTCTATCTCTCTTTCGGGCGGTAACTCAGAAACATCTTTTGGAAACACTTCCAAGAACTCTCTCACTACTGGTATACACTCTAGTTCCACTACACTCTCAGCCTCCATTGAAAACATGACCATGAAGGCCTTGGCCTCCACCGCATTTTCCCATGCTCCATGGCTCAAAAGTCTTGAAACTTCTAACATTGATGCACCAAAGATCAACGTCTTTTCTCTACAGTCCAATAACACATGGTTGGCAGCGAGCCAATCCATCCCCAAAATTACATCTAACTGAGAAAGAGGTAAACAAATCAAGTCTACCTCGAACTTCCTACCATGCACCATGATTGCATATCCCAAGCATACCCACGACGTCACAACCGGTTTACCCGTAGAGGTAGTCACCACAACATTACATGGCAATTCAGTAATATATAAATTCAGACTCTTCACACAATCCACAGAAATAAAGGAGTGCGTAGCACCCGAGTCAAACAATACATCGAGTAGTTTGCCCTTAATGACACATTTACCTCGAATCAGTTCCTCTTACTGTGATGCCTTTGCCCTGCTCATAGCAAAGACTCTCCTTAGTATGCTCGGCTTCAGCCCAGTGCTCGGCCCAGTACTCCTTCTGGATTCAGGTCTCTGAGCTGAGCTTGTACTGCCACTCTTCTTTAGAGACCAACAAACATTGGCGGTATGCCTCAGCTTCCCACAATTTCTGCAGTTTGTCCTTAGGTGTGGACAATCCCTCAGCATGTGTGGCCCTCCATACCGAAAACATTTAATTGGCCCTCTAAATGAGCTAGTGCCAGAACCACTCCCACTGCTACTTTTCTCTTGGGATGAACTTCCTCTAGAGTGAGACTTGCTTAAGCCTGAATACGGTCCTTTAAAAAATCTAGGGGGTTTTCTATCATGCCTCATTGGACCACTCCCCCTAGTGTCCACAGTCTTGCCCTCTGAGTTGGCCTCGAAAATTCTACTCTTACTCACCAATACTTCATTAACTCTTGAAACTTTGCCGCATACTCCCCTACGGTCATACTCCCCTATCTCAGCTTAAGGAACTCCCTGGCTTTCTGTTTCTTCAGGTCTCGGGGAAAGTAATTTCCCAAGAAGATGGTCTTGAAGGCCTCCCACTGTATATAGCCATCTTCTTGTGGCAAGGTCTGGCTAGCAAATCTCCACCAATCTTCAGCCTCCCCACACAACAAGTAGGTGGCATAGGGGACCTTGTGCTCCTCACGGCACCCCATAGCATTGAATACTTTCTCCACGTCAGCCACCCACCTCTGGGATCCTTTAAGATTAAACCCTCCTTCAAACTTTAGAGGGTCATGCCTAGTGAAGGCAGACAACCCTCTGTACTCCGCTGGTTCTCCACCTTGGTTGTGCACCAAGGCTTCCAGCATTTGAGCTATGCATTCCATAGGATCCTCAGTGTCTCGAGCTTCTCTACCTCTACCTCTACTTCTACTAGCCATGCTCTTTCTAGCTATTCACAATCAGCAAACACATTCCAACATATCAGATCAACTACAATGTTTATTAATCAGGTAATCAAAACAATCAACACTTATCTTAGACGCTTCAATCCATTACCCAGTCAGGTTGGATGAACTGCTCTGATACCAAATTGTAACACTTTAAAATTTTAATTTCTAAGTAAAATGAATTTCGTAAAAATGTTAATAAAATAGAAGTTTTCATTCAATAGTAGTTCAAAAACTCAATTTCATAAAGTGGTTCATAAAAGGAAATGATTACAAGTTTGTTTCATAGCTTGCTACAGGACTCAAATATATATTAAGACTTCCAAAATAAACTTCTAAGTCCTATAGCAGTGTCATCCATCCTTCCTTCAGGGGCCCCGGTGCTGATCGTCTTGGTTACCTGAAAATAAGCGTAAGGGTGAGTCCTCTACTCTAGCATAAGCACACAAATAAGCATAAGGCTCACCTGAACTATCTCACTCAAGGCACACACAACAATCACAGATAGGTGTGCTCACTGCACCGACAACCAATTACAAATACATGCATTTACACAAATACATGTGAGCTCACTGCACGTAGCCACGCTCACTGTGGCACTGTGATCACAGATTCCTGATGCCCTCAACCTCAGGGACTTACTCAGTTATGCTATGGATGGTCGCCCGAATAGCTCCTGCTCCACGGATACAACATGTGCGGTAATGAGCCCCCCAGGCAAAGGTGTTAGTCAGAGGTCGAGTTAGGAGAAGAGTGTGTAGCTTGTGGTGCACCCACGCTCACTGTTGGTGTCACCACCACCTTCTCTTCCCAAAGTATTACTACTGCCCCTATCTTCCACACTCCTAGTGTATCTCTGAACCATTCATAGTTCCAACACCCAAACACATCATCATTCATTCAACATGCTATCCACACTCATTTTCAACCATTCATATTATTCAAATTGCAATCAGGGGCATGTCGATATAATTTCATTCATATTATAACCAACCATTTCATCACAATCATCATACTTACGATCACACACATTTCATTTCACACAAAACATACAACATGCCAGAGGTCAGGCACCTCTGGACTCAGCTTAGTGCGTTCAAACCATTAATATATACATTTTCTACTCTCTACTTCTAATATATTACCATACTCAATCAAATAAACTAATTTCTAACAAGAATAACTAGAGCAAAGTCCTCCCCTTACCTCAAAAACGAAGACCCGACATGAAATGTTGATGGAATCGCCTCCCCACACGGATTTCGTCCCTAAAGCACACAAAAATCCCAAGGAAACTTAGGGGAAACCTCAAAAAATGAAGGAGAGGGACGAAAACCAAAACCCTAACCATAGAACTTACCTCCAAGAGCTCCAAACACTTCCCCAATCCTCAATGTAGCTTCCAATCGGTCTTATAGGGGTCCCAAACGGTCGGAATAGGCTGGGTGGAGAGAATCGTGGAAGACAGAAAGGAAAAATCATGAAAATGTCCCACTCTTCGAGCCCTAACCCCTTCAAATATCCCTCTAGTCGTGACACGCTCGCTACAGCGAGATAGGACCTCGCTGCAGCGACATGGCCGCTCACTACAGCGAAAAAACCAAAGAAAACTGCACTCTGGTTTTTACAGAATCTTGCTACAGCAAGACATCTCTCACTACAGCAATAAGGCGACAGTCGCATGCCTTCCTCCCAGGGACCTCTCGCTACAGCGAGAATGCCCTGCATCAGAACTTAACCTGTTTTTTTCAATCCAAATTCCAATCACACACACATATATATAAATACATTTACATATATCAGTATTCACACACACATTCCTATCAAACTAAGGTATGCTCATATATATATAAATACATATTCATATACTCAAACAATATTACATTTCTCAGGGTGTTACAAACCATATTATACTCAAACACACAATTTATAACGCCATTTCATCACACACAATATTCACTATCCATCATACATCTTTCTCAAATAGCAATCGCATTATATTACACACCACATTTCCATCAAAATTCAATCACAACTAAACCATTCTCATCATAATACACTTCTTTCTACGTTTCATTCTAAAACCACATTACAATACACATCCAAATAAACGATGTTCAAGTACAATGAGATAGGATAGAGTCCCCCTTATCTAGGATTGAAAACCCAAACACAAAATCAATAATGAAAAGGCTCCCCACGTAGATCTCATCCTCCAAACACTCTAAACGCTATTCCAACCATCAATCTTACACCCAAACAACTTTGGAGGCAATTTAAACGGTAAAATAGGGTTGAGGGTTGAGAGGATCAAAGTGATTTCAAAGAGAGGAACGGGAAATGAATTTTCCAAATCTTAAACCCCTCAAATACCCTTTTGGTTGTGATGTTCTCGCTACAGTGACACGCAGCGACACCCCCCTTGCTACAGCCAAAATATCAGAGGAAACTGCACTTTGATTTCTGCAGAATCTCACTACAGCGAAGCCATCTCGCTACAGCAAGACTGCAACCCAGAAATGCACCCCTCTCTGTTGCCTTCTTGCTACATTATGAATGAGATTTATTTGTAAAGTCTTAAGATTTTGATAACTTTTATTTTTTTATTTGTAAAGTTTTAAGATTTTGATAACTTTTATTTTTTTAAGATTTAAATCAACATGAACCTTTCCTAATTTATCTAAAATGTTACCTATTTTAATTAAGTTTTATTAAAATTTATGAATAAAAGAACAGGTATGTTACAACTTTTGGTATAAATTTAATTATTAAGGTACAGTTTATCATTTGTTATTTCTAATATTAGAAATATTAATATTTTTGTAAAGTCTCCTGAAAAAATTTATTTACAAGAAAGTTTTAATTTCATCACATTTTTATACTACTTATTGTAAGAAAAATTCATTTTATTTTATTTTATTTTGTCATAATTTATTATATAAATTGAATATGAAATTAGGGATGTTACAAATATTTAAAGCCTATTTTATGGTATTTTGATAATTTAGTCAATTTTTTAACTTGTATTTCTTTTTTTATTTTTGGTTCTTTCCAACCTAATATAATTCTTGTAATTCTAATTTAGATAATCTAAAATCACCAATAATAATTTTGGGTAATTAATCTTTACTTACATTACCTGATTCTTCCTTAATCGATTTCATTCCTAGTAAATTTCACTACGGGTATTTTAAGTCCTAAGTTTTCATTTTTAATTTATTGGTATTAATATAATTAATGACTAATTTATAAATGGTGAAAATTTGGGGTGTTACATTCAAACCCTAAGCCTCCATCTAAAAATTGTTCTACCATTCACATCCATATCATCTTCTCTCATTTTGATAGTTGCCTCAATAGGATTTCCAAGAAAGCGCATTCTGCAGATAGTAAGTAGTGTTCTTTCCAAAGTAGATCAATAGATCAATCATATAATTTTTTTTTTTTAAGATTATGGATATTTTATGTTTAATTTTCTTCGCTTTCATTACTATCATCATGTGTAAGGAAATACTCTTTTTCGACTATTTAATTTTGTACCTTGCTTTACAAAACATTACGCTTAAATGAAAGGTGATTTGTATACCTATAGTGTGAAAAGTTATATGATTAAATCAGAGCTTACGTACATTGAACATTTTTATTACATATTTATATGTTACATTATATTTAACTTTATATCAAATGAAAAAATATAGCTTTGAATGTTTGAATGTTATTGTCTTATTCTCTATTGAATAGTCAAATTTGCCACTCTTGGGCAATATTTATACGAGGAGCCTAATTTATCCACCTGGTATACGTTACAAGCTAGCAAATCAATCATATTCTAATTTTTAATTTTTCGATTTCTACTTTTCATTTCCTTCAACCTGCACTACCATTTTTGTCTCTTTAATATACAAAACTCTTAAAAAATTCTTCTCTAATATACAAAACTCCTTTCAAACAATTAGAAAAATAAGTTTTGTCTCTCTCATTTACGAAGCTCTTAAAAAAAAATAAGTTGCTATGCTTACGAGGCTAAAAACATTCCTGACAAAGTTGTTTTAAAATATTATTTTAATATTATTTTTAAAAAAATTAAATAAGCCAAATTTTTGTGTGCTTTACAACCTATGCTAGTGTTAAAAATTATAGATGATTTTGCCAAGATTTAAGTAAGTTGGACATTTTTATTACGTATTCATATATTGCATTATCTTTATATCAATTGAAAAATATTGTTCATTCCTAATTGAATAGTCGACCTTGTCCCTTCTTGTGCAATATCTCAACAAATAATATTGTTCTAAAAGTACAACTAACATTGAAAATAAATCAACAATGTGTCTTTGAAATGTTTTAGCTATTATTTTTATAACGAAAAATTTCTAAAATGTTTGAAATTTGCATTAAATATTTTTAGTAAATGGTATAACTTTAATTTGATACATGAGTAAGTTGTCTAGCATTACGAAACATTAAGCTTATATGAATGATGGTGAACCAACAAAGTTACAACCATTCCAAATCTTCTCACACCTATTCAAAATTTGAGTTCGCTTATGTTTAAAAATTGGCAAATTTACTGTATACCTAGTCACATCTGTGTGACACGATTTTCCCATGTCATTCACAAGGCTGATGCAACAATCATTGCTAACTGTTTGATTACCAACAAATATAGCAAAGTAAATTTGTTTACCACAATTTAATTTTAACTTGTTCACACAATTACTCAGATATTCTTCGTATGCTGATATTGGTCTTGATGCCAAATTAACCCCAAACAAAGAAACCTGGGATGGTTGGACAACTTGAGAAGCAAGTGATGGCTTGATCAAAAGGTTAAAGTTGATCATAATGGCCACAACAACATAAAATGCATTAGATAATGCCATCACTCCCTAGACAATAGTATATTGATCTTTGTCTTGAAAATACTTTCTTTGTCAAAGTTGGTCACAAGCAAAGACGTATTTATAACTTAAATTATAATCATAACATTT